TTTTTCATCTTGTCTGGTTCTGTCTGGTTCGCCTTCCCAGGCAGAGCCAGACAGAATCAGAGACTTGCGGAATTACTGATGCGGCCGGGGCGCTTTCACCGGTGTAGGACAAATGAAGGATGCAGAAGTGTTGTCGGCGTGGTACGCCTGGACCTGGCGTCTCCGTGGCGATCCGGGATGACAGAGAGGTTGGCATGGATGAGCGTAGGTGGTTGTCGATGGCGGACTCGGTACGAGAGCATGTCCCAAGAACGACTACGAACCTTCGAAGATAGCGGCCCATAAAACAAAGGGAGACGTCTTCGGAGGAACAAGGCGACGGCAGGGTGCTTCTGTCACCGTCGAAGACCATTTCCATGTTCCGGAGCTGGAGGAAGTCGCGAAAGACCAAGTGAAAGGGGGAGCTGGTAGTGGTGGCTTCGCAGAAGCGCCTCAGTGACTCCATCCCTGCGGTTTCGTCCTCGGAGATGTCACCGGTGTACGGAGGGAGGGCTACAACGCGGAGATCGGTCATCTTCCAGCCATGTGAGTCGATCGCCGTGCGTGATTCCCGCAGCGACACAACGGGGCTCTCTGTGGGCTGGTATAGCGGAGCAGCGTGAGCGTTGAGCTTGTCGTCCACCCTTTCAAGCAAGAGGAAGACGGGCCCGTCGGGATCTCTGCAGAACAAGTCGACGAGGAGGAATCCCCCCGCATCATACAGAGGCAGAACGGCCGCGTGGAGCTCGATCCCGCCTGGTGACACGGAAAACGTGGGAGCACGGAGTTCTGTGGTCGTGCTTGCAATTGAGCTGTGCTAAAATGGTCGTCAATGTAGCACAACGTGGAATGGCATCCATACCAGCGTACCTCATCTTGTCCTCTCTGCAAGCGGGCACTGGGTTCGTATCTGATTACCATAAGAATAGGGTATCGGTATAGGCTATTGAAGGTCGGCCAAGGCTGAAGGGGGAGAAGATGGCGACGTATTCGGCTGTTGGGCGTTCTCTGGAGGTCTGGTTGGAGGTCTTCCAATCCGTGCACCCTCTTGAATCGTCTTCCCAGAAGAAATATCGAAGGATCGCGCGAAGTCTTCGAGATCTCCATGAGCAGCCGGCAGAATGCGAGCCGCCCTTCGCCGTAGAGCGTCGGCATGTTGACCCCGAAAAGTCCGAAGAGGCTGTAGGCGGCGTCTTCCGGCCTCGTGGTTTCCCGATGCGCCGCCCAGGATATGCGCGTCGCGATGCTCGCGTCGGTAAACGGGCTCTCGAAGCGGAGGACTGCCGCAGATATCCGAGTTGCTTTTTCTAGGCGATCGGCGAGCTCGTACTTGGTGCCCAAACAGGTCCACTCCTTGGAATAGAACACAAGGACGCGGGACGCGATGAGCTCTTGGAGAGTCCAGCCCCGGAAGTGCCAGTGACTACATCGGAAGGAGTGCCACATCTTGCCTGAATTAGTGTCGGAGTATTTGACGTCGCTGAGGTAGACATAGCAGATGGCGGAGACGGCGTAGTAGCGGAACATGGAATTGATGCCTTCCGAGAGCTCAGCACTGCTCTCCTTGTTGATACAGCACGTGTCGACCCAAGCGTAATCGTAATCGTGCTTTTCAGCGAGCTCAAGGAATGATCGAACTTTTGGAGTGAGGCGATCGCGTGGGTTGAACCATGGTGACGACGAGCGGGATGGCTCAGCGAGTCCTTGCCAGACGGGTGCAGGAGTATGGGAAAGCGGTATCGCGGGAGCCCATGGATCTGAATCTATCAAGCGACCTTCGTATGTCAGCGCCGAGTAGGGAAAACGAGTTTTCATCATTACACAAACCTAGCTCGCATTCAGTACTGGATGGTCGTCTGTCTGGGCGATTCCCACCCGCGTCGTCCTGGACTAATCCAGGAGAAATTTCGGTACGGCGGGAAGGGCGTAGGTGTAGTAGCAATTTGAACTTTTGCATGATGTGTGATTTCACTTTATGGAAAGCATTCTTCAAGTTTTTGCAAGCCGCAGATTCTTTCGGGACTGTCTCAGAAACAAGAAGGCGCAGCTCATCGCGGAGAACGGCCGCTTCTTGAGAGACCTCCTGGGAGATGAGGGTTCGTAGAACGGCCGCTTCTTGAGAGATTTCCTGGGAGATGAGGGTTCGGAGAACGGCCGCTTCTTCAGAGACCGCCTGGGAAATGAGAGATCGGAGCTCAGTGGGGGGCAAGGGACGTTGATCTTCGGGGGAGAAGGTGCCATTGGATTCTGCATTCAGCTTTTGAACCTTTTGAAACGAGTCTTCCTCTCCTCCCCAGGTGTGCGACAGGATAGCATAGCCTCCAGGAACGTCTTCAGGTTGGGGAAAGAAGACGAGGTTCGCGTGCGCGGTGCCCAGGAGCCACATCGCTTCTTTCACGAATATGAGCACATGTATGTCTCGCGAGGGTAAGCATGAATACCGGGTGAGAGGTGATGTGCACGATTCGCGGGAGGAGTACAGACACTTGGGGAGCATGAGTGAATGCGATACAGAGCATCGGAAGAGTGGATGTACAATGAGTATCCGGACGTACAATGAGTATCCAGTAAACGGGGTTTCCTGTACTTGATATCACGGAGGGAGTCGATGGCGGAGGGGATGTAAGATGGACGAGAGGAGATGTGAGATGAGTCAAGAGCGAGACGGTAGAGGGCAGGTCGCGGCGAGGGAGACCGCGGTCCCACACGCCCACAACGCGAAGTTCGAACATGCGGTGAAAGCAGCCGAGAGCGTCGGAGCGTCTCCTGTGATATGACGGTCAGCAGAGTCCGGGCCGCCTTCGCGCTCCCGGGGCGTGATGACCTGCCTTTCCTCGAACGTGTCAGACGTAGATATCGATGTCGTGCGCGTTATCCGCTAGGCGAAGCTGAGAGCGCTCTATGTCATTCGTCGAGAGGTAGTACACGATGTGGCCCGATACTACCTCGGGGGAATGTACGCACGTAGCGCCCCAGATGTTCGACGATGTTTGGATCACCGGAGCATACAGTAAACGCGCGCGAGTGCCTCCGCCCTGCTCGTTAGCGACAATGTATGCACGCGAATGGGCACGACACGCCGGCTGAGGGAGAAGCGGGGGATTAGAGAGCCGTTCAACGCCGTCTCCCGGATGGGCAAGCGCGATAGTGGCCGCACAACCTCGGACGTAAATATGCACTCCTGAGATAAACGGTCAGCTGATCCCAAGCGTACGGAGGCCGGCCGCGACATACCGTTACAACGAGGATTCAGGCAGGTCCGCCGCAGTGCTTTGTTTGCCGACAACGATACATGCTGCGTTATGGGCAGAAGCACGCCCGAAGCTTGCGCTGGAGATCTACAGGCCCTGCGGCGTGAATAATCAGATTACTTGTTAAGAGCGTCGGAAAAGCCGTGATAAATATCAGGGGGTGCGTATATGCGAAGTTGAGTACAGGAATGAGGATAATAGCTTGCTAAGGACCCACCGTCATGACCACCGTGGTGCGCTCGACGACGACAGCGTGTATCGAGGAATACATGCCGAACAGAGGCCCGGTTCGGAACAGGTTTACACAAGGTCGTGGTGCGGCTCAAGAATCGGAAATAAAACGGCGGGGAGAAGCGCTTACACACACAACATGTTCCGTGTGTTTTGTGTGGATGGTGAGAGCAAAGAGTCGGCTGCTGGTTCACTCGCGGCGCCCACAGGCACCAGCGCCAACGAGATCACGGTCCGCATTCTCCGGGGCGTAGACGCGCGGAGCCACCATCGGGCTCAGCTCCGTCTGAGAAGAGCAGCTCGTCCTCTTTCCCCGCCACGCTCCCTTCTCAGACCACTCCCATTGCGTACACACCTTTTCTCAATTGTGCCACGACGCACTCGCTCAACGCGACACCGCAGCTGCTTCTACATGTCGTATCGTCTGTGCAACGTCTCAAGCCGTGAGACGGGTGCCAGTGCGCGAGGGTTTTTGTCGCATGGGATATACTTGTGATGTGTCGTTCATCCAAGGTACGTCTCTCCGGTTGAAACAACTTTCTGCAGCTGGCCAAACTTCTGCTCTTCGCCACAGACGTCATCACCCCTCCAGGTCGGCCTTCGAGACACGCTTTGAAGTTGGGTCCTTCCATCTTGGCTATTCCAACTGGGCGACGAGGATAGGCGAATCCGGATACACCTGAGGATGGATGGAGGGGTGGAGGCCGTCTGCCGTACGTTTGAATTGTCCTCCTACTCCATACCTGTTGTCTTACGGCCGTCGTTTCTCTGCTCAGGACCCAACGGACCCAAAGATCGCTCACTTAAAGGCGTAATCCATGCACGAGATGGGTGGAAGCGTTTCAGTCGCTATGGTCGATCACGAATAGCAGGATCGCGGTGCTCGTGTGGTACGTCCTGCTCCTTGGATGTTTCGTCCGGTCTCGATCTCCCCATACTGCTCCGAGCACACCCTGTTCTGATACCCTCGCATATAGTCGGAGGCAGCGTCCGATATATATGTGCCTCTTAAAACGCATCTAGTGCTTCCGTGATCCAAGCCCTCTCACACGCCCCGTGGTATGTCTCCGTTCCTTTTACACCATCTGCGCTGGGCCTCATCTCTACGAGTCTTCGTTTGCAGTTCCATACCACGACGACTCGTCCCCTTCCTCGCAGGCGCCATCGAACCCATACTGAAGCGGCGGAGATCCGGCCGACGAAGGTTCCAGGTGACGGATGAAGTTCTGGGCGGGACGACAACGCGCGGCGACGTACTCGAAACGCCGATCGTGCAGGAAGTTCCCGTCTCTGCGGTGCTTATCTTAAATGCTGTCCTATTGTTACAACTAGTGAGCGACACCCTAGACCATATTTCCGTGGCACCAACTCCCCTCTCATTACAGCCTGTTGCGCGCTCTCCTCGAAAACCTGTCGACTCGACTCTCTGCGGACACACCCGAACCTCCTCCTTGGCTGAGCGTTACGCCCGAATCGATCCTCATGGTGTTGCGAACGCTCGAGCTCTGGCTGGAAACAAAGAAGTCGACCAAGCCCACAATGTCGGGCCACGCCCGCCAGAGTTTTCGCGCAAACCCACTCACACCGTTCAGCGGTATACCCGGGGTGGTCGAGAACTTGCGGTCGCGCGTGGACATCAGCGTTGCGCATGAATTGGAACGCATCAAGTACAGCTCCTTCCGGCTCACGGACAACGAGATCGTGCAGATGGATGTTGTCCCGCCCGACGTTCCGCGCTCGGCGAGTGCACGCAAGTGGGTGAACGACAACATCGAGAGGATCGTCGACGTGGTCCACAGACTCGGTCCGGCCATATTGGAACCCGTCCCACAAACTGTCGCGACACGACCCTACGCGCCCACGGAGGTGTCTGTCAAAACGAGACGACACGCGCGGCGCCCGCCGACGAGCCTCCTCGCGCCCCACCATCCCGGCTTCCCCGTTCCGACGCACTCAGCGCGGTCGCTGTGCGAAGCGGCGCCGTCCTCACCAAGTGAAGTGTTATGGGATCGCGAAATCGATCCATCCGCCGATAGAGCTGCACGATCGCCGTCCTGGTGTGGCACGCGCGTGGCAGGAGATTGAGGAGAAAGGCGGGTTGGTGCCAACCCTGAGGCGGAAGGTGATATTTGTCCGCTTCGCCCTGTCTATATTTTATCTGACGCTTTTCACCCAGGTTGTTTCTCACTTGGAAAGAGATTGGCAGACACATTACCTATATCGACAGGGCTCCGCCAGGCCGTCGTCCTCAGCGGGGGACTCCTCGGACTCCAGGCCGCCACAGCCGTGCACGACCTCCCCACCGTATCACCCGTCGCGATCGTGCACCGCTCCCACCAGCCGCTCTCGCGCCAACTCGACGCCCAGGGCGGCGACATCGTCCGCCGGCGGATCGAGGGCATGTGCGTGCGCTTTCTCGGTGGGACCTTCGCCGTCCGCGTCTACACCTCCTCCCCTCGGAATCCGACTCCGTGGGCGCGCGTGATAGGCGTCGAGCTCGCGGACGGCACGACGGAGCCATGCGACCTCGCGTCTTCGTGATCGGGATCACACCCGGGACGACGTCACGCGCGCGGCGGGGCTCGCTGACGTCGATGCCCCCGGATCGTCGTACGTCCCTCGAATTAGCGGTTCCGCTAGCGCTTGTTCAGCCTTGACGCACGTGTTGCTCTGCAGGACGGCCTCGTCGCCGCCGTCGGGAGCCTCCCCGCGCTCCGGGTGCTCGTCGTCGGCATCTTGTGCTACCTCGTCGCGGACCCCCGGTGCGCGGCCGAGACGTTCATACGCGCCCTCGACCTGGACGCGTTCGCGCGCCGGCTGTGCGGCGCGTGCCCCACCCTGCAGACGGTTCGTTCTGCTCAGCGGGGTGCGCGGGCCCGCGCACTCGCGGGTGCAGCTGAGGCCAAGCTGAGGCCGCAGTGCACGGAGTTCGAGCTGTATGCAGACAGGATGGGCAATCCCGGACACCGATGTACGGAAGCGGTGGGGTGAGTGGATCGATCGTTGTAAGTACACGGGGTTTCGGCTGATTTCGTGCATTTGCAGGAAGGACTCTCTGTGGAATCACGCGACATGGAGCGTGAAGCTGAGGAGGTTGTCGGCGATGGTGCTGTGCAGGACGAGTTGCGGTCCTCGCGAGGGTAAGGACGGTGGTGCTGGTCGACCCTCCGTATCGTGCCATGCGTGTTACGTTTTGCTTAACGTCTTCCTGTACTATCATTGCGCGAAATAGGTTGTCGTTCATGCCGAGTGCGCTCCTGGGTACACATGGACCCCGCAAATGAGGCTTAGACTTCGAATGTCCAGAAACGGTCGGCTGCACGCGTCGTTTCCACATGGACATGTATGGATCCTACGCAATCGGGGTGTTCGCAATGCCTGTGTTGATTGAGAGCTACGACTGTACATACTACATACACGTTATTCGAGGCTGCTCAGATCTTCCCCTGGTTCGTGTCCTCGGTACCCCGCCTATCCCTCCAGCTCTCTGAACCCTACCGGCTTCATCAGCTCTTCGCAACAGCGCACATCGGCAGGACAAGACACACCTTGTAGTTCGTCACCCGCTGCCACTTGACCCTCCTCAGCAGCCGCTCCATCACCGTCACGCCAGGGGCCTACTTGCCCGGGGGCGCGTTGGCAACCGCCGTAGCGATCCGCTCGCTCTGCTCTCACAGCGCGCACAGCCCGATGGTGTCGTTCGGGCGGGTGAAGGACACGACGGAGTGGCGTTCGTACTGGGCCTGCTCCCGTGAAGGCGGGCTGGGAAGGGTGTGAGACGCGGGGTATCGGATAGGCACGTCGCGCGGACAAACTCACACGACACGATGGATGTTGGAGCGTAGGATGCCGCCAGAGAAGATATTGAGGGCGTCGCCGATGTTGCAGATCGCGTGTCCGGGCAGGGGCTGGGCGACGGAAGACTGCGTGAGCATGAGCGCGGCGGATCGAAAAGGGTGACTGACCTTGACCTAGAGCCACTGGTCAGACCCGGGCGGGAGCACCTGCAGGCCCCCGAGGCGGTTGTGCAGTAACCACTGGGGAGCGGGATGTCGGTACAATGCGAGGGGCCAAAAGACGAATCACCCACCAAAGACCCAAAGTCCGTGTGCACCGTCAGGAATGTCATCTCCTCCGACCCAGGATACGACGGCGCTCTGATGAACCGCGCCGTACATCCGCTGAACCCCTCGACCTTGTGCAGAGACGCGAGCGTGCCCGCAGGGAGCCCGAGCTTGTCAGTGAGGACGCCGATCAGGTGGTTGCTGATCGCGAGCGAGTTCTTCACAAACGGCGTCACGATGGACTCCATCGGCGCGTTGACGGCGGAGGGATACATGCGGCGCGCGACGGCCGGCCAGGCGTGCGTGTCGTCCTTGGAGATGTTGACAAACTCAGGTACGTCGCGCGTGCTTTTGTCTGCCTTGTAGCCGCGCCGATGCGGAGGTCGGTGGAAAGTGCAAAAGCAAGCAGTTGGAGAGAACGTACCCGAACGAAACACCCTGCTCAAAGAGGAGCTTCTCCTTGAGGGTAAGAGTGATCGTCTCTTCGCCCATCGCAAACATACCTTCCGCTTCCTCGTGTACGCCGTGGTTCATGAGGCTTGGGACGGATCACCGGTTAGTCGTAACGTTCACTCAAGCACTGCGCAGTCATCTCCGTCGCAGCCCTCCAGAGCCTCTCAACCTCATGCGCATCTCGAGCTCACAGTCGATCACGAACAGGACAGGTGGGGACATCCTGAGGGAAAGTCGGGTAAGGTTCCAGACCAGGTATCGCGACACTGACTCAGCGAGTATGGGTCGCAGCGTACCGATGCCTCTTGAGTTCATGAGAAGGGTGTCGGCACTCCGGGCTCCGCGAGAAATGTGCTAAACTTGCAGCATGATCTCATGAATCGGAGGGGGATGAAGTGGAGAAGCAAGAGCAGGGCGCGTCTCGGTGGGGGTTCCGCGGGGAAGGATAGGGGTGGTGAGGAGGAGGAGGAGGAGGAGGAGGTTGGTGACTTCAGCCCCTCCAGCAGTGCCGCAACACCACTGGGTGAGAGGAGGTAGGAGGAAGTGGATGTCCGAGTCCTGTCGAGACTCGAGAACGCGGCGCCAACACACGCGACGGCTGATGTAAGCGATCGGGTCCGACATCAGCAAAGTAGGCGCGGAAACGGTAGCGTCTGATAGTGCATGGGGGCATTCGTAGCGTACGATAGTTAGTGATAGCGAAGACAATAGACAGTAGCTGAGCATCCAAGTAATGCAGCAACTCGTAGTGTACTATCGTCTGCTTCTTCCACTATCAAATGATGATCATACCTCGCGGACAGTGCTATCATTTCTGGGTGCGCATGCGACCATATATCGGTCATCTGCGGCGCATGAAATGATAGTGCCTCACGATAAAGTGTCAGATTTAGCGGAGGAGATGACAGATAACTGCGGAACACTATCGCCTTCCGTCGCACACTGGGGCGCACGTATAATTCCAATCACACAATAATCCATTCGGGGTAAATACGAAACAGCCGGTATTCTACGCAACAGAAACATGAGCAGAACAAAGAACTTACATGGTCGGCGATGTGGCCGAGCTTGAAGCCTCTCGTCCAGCACGTCTCCCCGAATTGACGGAGTGTTCCCTATTGTGAGTACTATCGGAGTGGTCAGTAATGTAGAAATTTCGTATCTGGGGATTGCTTACCTGATAGAGAAATCAATGTGGAGAGCGCGGAAAGGTCGGTTGAGTGCGGCAAGATAGACAGGTCGGGCATGGAGGGGCGCCATGGGCGCGAAAGGGTGAATTGGTTGGGCGTGGAGAGGTGGATGGTCGCGTCGGGGAAGGGGGAGGGAGGCGGGGGAAGTCAGCGGGAGCGGACACAGGGAACGCGGAGGAAGAAAGACGCACCCGGGAGAACTGGAATGCCTTCACGAGCCGGATCGTCCCCTCGACAGAGCGGCCCACAGGGAGGTCGTTGATCGTAATTTACTTGTCCAGCTCCACCGAACGCACAATCAGTCGTGATTCCCGGACGTATGCCGCTCCACCAAGGACGTACCTGAGGGTACCCTATACGGTCGATAATGAGGAGCCCACAGAGGGCGATCCCCTCGTCCTCGATGAGGACACCGTAGTCGTGGGAGACGGACATGTGGGCCGACTCGAGACCGCTGCTTGCGCGGGGCAATCGCCCAGGTGAAGTGCGAGTACTGTGACTTGTCGGTCGAGGCCGCTGTGGACTTGGTGAAATGAGCGGCTGCAGAACTGATCTCGGTAGAGAAGGAAGAGGAACACAAACCATTGAGCTGCTGACTCTGCAGAACGGGTGGCTGCTCAGGGCGGACACGTCGCGCGCGTTCAGCAACGCCTACCGGAAGTGGTCGCGCGCAGATCTAGCAGCAGGAGCTCAGGATGCGCGGGCTCAACCATGCGGTACACCGTGATATCCTGCTCGCCTGCCGCACTCGGACGTTCTGAAGACATACCTGTACACCATGTTCACACGGAGCCGGTGGCTGCCGCACCACCTCCACATCGCCTTGAATCCCCGGTGGCAAGCAAATGGTCAGTGTTGGGTCGCTGGCTCGCGTGGGAACGCGCGGCGCCGCGTCGAAACTGTCGGCGAGGCTGAGGAATCAGGCCTCACATGTGACCGACCCGTGGCCATAAGCAACGTAAGTACTCAAGCGTACCTTTGTACCCGCAGTCTTGAGGGCGCGGGTTTTCGCTGGTGTGAGTGCGGTGTCGATGCCGATGTCGACAGAAGTGTGTACGTGAGTGAGATGATGATGAATGAGGAAAAACTGACCGTGTCTAGATACATCGCGCGCGAGTGTGAGTGGCACATTGCGCTTGGGGGATGATGGTGGTCGCGGATAAAGCCCAGTAGGTGTGCAACCCAGCACACGCGCCCATGTCTGTGGCAAACAATAGAGAGGCCAAAGCGGGACGCCACTGCGGCGCCGCCGCATCGGGTCACAACAATTAGCAAAGAAATCACCGTAAGCAACTTTTAGACCTCAGAATGTCGCTACTAACACGGACCTCTGTACGTCTCGGGCCCCAGCGATATATATATCTTGACTTAACTCTCGACCCCTCGCCCAGTGCCCTGTGCGGGAGTTTGCCGCGCAGCTCGTGACAACAAGAGCATCGAACAGAGCGCTCCGCTGACTCTCGTAGTGGTGGTCCGCAGAGTAGGCCTTGCTCCAGTTCACGGGCTCGCGCTCGCAAGCGTCGTGCGGAAGGTCGAGGTCCTCCAGGGGAGTGTCCCAGTTTTTCTCCCGCACATATTCCGCCACCGCGAGTGTGAGGAATTCGTTCTCCGCGTGTGATGGCCCAACACTTGAGGCTGCCCGCCCCGCTGTTTGGGGAAGGCTGGGTCGCTTCAACTTATGGGGTGCGCACCTGGTGGGGAACAAGCCACAGAAGCACACCTTATGCACATTGGTAAACGGAAATGATATCAGACGGAATGTGAAAGGCCGAGACAATGCTCAAATGAGCAAGAACTTCACGGCGCCCGCCGCCGCCGACTCGATGTTCCGCGTTCGGATCGCGTGTCCTAGAGAAGCAGACATTCTGATGAAGAAGAGGATTTGCGTAGCAAAAATAGGAGACACAGAGAAACGAAAGGGAGAAAAGGCGTCAAGAAAGATTAGGGGAACAGAGGATGGGGCTCGCCATCGATGCCGGACAGAGGCCTCCGCGCGCGGCGCGTAAGCGGAACAGGCGCCCGCGCTGACGTCCGTCCGCATATCGTCGCGCGCATCGCGTTCTCTGCCGCGCGCAGTGTTCGCGTCCTCACGAGCCGACCGTATAGCTAAATACGAACCTCTTATGCACCCCGCGCGCCCCGTGATTCAAATATTCACCCTTGAAGGAGCGCATGATCGTCTACTATCATCGACTACAGCTTTCTGTTCAAGCTACTTGTGCCTGTAGTATATCCATCATATCCTGTCTGCGGCCACAAGATTTGATCGAACCTCATAGTAAAGACGAATGGATATCAGCTGCTACCGTTCTGCCATCATTATTTGTCGCGCAGACAATAGACGGCCTGTCCCGATCTGGCAGAGTCGCACGCTATCGGGCGCTACCGTTAAAAACACCTTTTGCTGATGGACTCGTCGCTCGTGTGCAAGCCACATCTTTCAACTTGCTCATCAGCCAAGGTGCGCTTCTACTTATATCGACGGCGAACATGCGTATATGTTCATGCCACCATCCTCGGACTTGTTTTAGCTGACGTCCCCCCTCCGTGTTCAGGTACTTCGTCGCCACAACTACGCATACTTCTTGGAGCACTTGAACGCAGGCTGCGGGACCGCACGAGTGGAAAGAATTTGACGCGACCACATGAGCCACGACCCTCGACAGGCTGGCCGTACGAGCTCCTTGACGAGCACACAACTCGACCACGCGACATCGGAAAGCTCTCGCGCCCTCCGCAAAGGTCGACGAAGTACACCCAGATGGACAGCGGCGGCGACGCCTCGCGAACTGCGCGTTGCTGAAAACTCGGCCGGCCCCATGTGCCGCGAACACGAGAGCGGTGGCGTCCATTGAATCCGGACGCCGGCCGTACCAAAATGTGTGCGAGCACGGTCATAGCGAGGTGTGGACGAACCTTTTGGAGCGGCCGCCCTCTTATCCTGCCTCTTCCCTCGACGACGTTCCACGCGGGCCAGTCTGCGTGGGATTGCGGCCACAAGTACCCAACGCGACCTAGCTCCCACCTGCTGCTCGCCGTCGCGCCCCAACTGCTGGACTTCCTCTCCGCCACTCCGCGGCTCTCCGTCCTTCACGGCTTCTTCCTCTTGATTCCCAACGCACGGGAAAAGACGTTCCCCTCGACGTCCCTCCCGACCGTCCATCTTCCCGCCGAGTACACCGTACTCATCGTCACGCGCTGCTCCCAATAGCACGCCGTCTCTTCGACGCCCTCCGCCTCGACTCCCTGCGGGCACCTCTCCGCCGGGCGCATTCGGCTGCTCTCCTGGCCCTTCACCACCATCTCGACGCGTCTCCGGCGCCCACGCGCGTGAGCCTCGACGCCTCACATGATGACCTCACTCGAGTCGTCACCTCTACCTCCGGTCGCGGGCACCTGTGATGGCACCCCCGCTGCGACCGCACACCCGGCGGGCACGCGTTCCCCGCGCGCTGGCCCGAGCGTGGCCTCTCCTCCGCCCCTTTGCTCCCCTCCGCGCGCGCTGAGCCTCTGCCCCGAGACCGACGCATTGCTCGCGCTTGCCACGCTCCTCAAGCATCCAACCGCCCTCAAATTCGCGCGAAGCCCCTACCGTGCGCCTCGGACTGTCTCCGCGACGACTCCTAGTGGGAGCCACCACCGCATTCCTGCACGCGGTGCGAGCCGAGCCGGACGCGGGGGACGCGGTCTGCTAGGCCCTACGCATGCTCGCGCTCGAGCTGTACCCGCCGTGATGCCGCGCGGACGTCGTCGCACTCACTTCCCTCGCATCCTCCATGCCGACTGTGGCACCCGCTCTTTACAGTGTGCTATTTTGCTACTATATGTACTGGTCCTCTCTTTGAACCCTATGGCCTCTCTCGATATCAACCACGATCCCTCGTGCAGCTCACCCCGACTCCACCTCCAGCGGTCCACGGCCGTTGATATCTGAACGAACCAGGACCACTGCGTCACCCAGCGCGCAGTAGCGTTGGCGACGTTCTGACATCGGATCCCATGTGAGTGCCGTTTGTTCAATTCTCTTGAGAATCCCCTGTCTAGGCCACCGGATCTCTCTCCACACCCGTCGCGCTATCCCGCTATTTTCTGCGCCCATTTCCCCAATCAGTGTGAGGTCACCTTGACACAGATTCGAGCTGGGAAGCGGGGTGACGTCACTGCGACGTCTGATCTGGACGCGTGCCCTTCTCATCTATACTCCAAGGTGAGTATATGCGGTTGAATGAGGATGCGGGAGGATCAACACGTGCTGACGCCCAGTTTTCAGGCAGGGCGCGTCTTCAGACGAGCGTCCTCGCATCTGGAAGGAGTGGACGAGCATGCTGCCCAAGATTGGAGATTACGCAGAGCGACGGCCCGCGGAACCGAGGGCGCTCTCCCCATTTTCTACAACCCGATGTACGTTTGACCTTTCCTTGAAAGCGGTCATCGGCGACTCATCCTCTCTTTTGCAGAAATCCCACCCAGGCAAGCTTCAGTAGGCGGGATTCGTCCGCGGCGGTGGTCCTGTAACTGACACGCGATATTGATAGACCGGGACGGACGATGTGGTTGATCTATTCGACCTGTTGGACATCGGGAGTTTGTCCGCGGACCGCCTCTCCGAGCTTGTGTTCTTCTTTCGAAGTGTTAGAGATGGTACGTACTCCGACATACCCTCGTTTTGGTACAGTGCACTGACCTATCTACAGACCATCTCGTCTTCGGAGCAGCGTCCCGGCGACGACCAAAGAACACGCCGGCCGCCTCACCCTCCTCAACATCCACGGCGCGACCATTACGCGGGACCTCTGCCTGGTTGTGCTTCTCACCTAACCCAACGCCACCTCAGACTCGACAGAGCGCATCGAGATCAAAGCTACCCTGGTGTGCACGTACTCCGGTGTGATCATGCGGCCTAGGGAATGGCACGGGTCGGGTATGGGCAAACGGAGCATGCCCTTACCCGACCCCCGACGTACCCTGACCCTCGTCCGCAGGTACGGGTTTGGACTCGGAGCACGGTACCTTTCATCATTGCTGGTGCGCAGTAGACGTGAGCGTTTCATCAGCACCGGAGGACAATGTCATGCCACAGGAAAGGAGAGACGTACGACGAGCTGGGAGGTGTGAGCATTGGGTTCATAGCACACGCGTTGAGGTAAGATGGGATATCGCGCGTTTGCTCACCGCTAATCCCATTGCATAGGCCCCAAGCGAACCAGCTCGTGCGCAGCGAAGTCAGTGGATGGCGCATCGCGCGGGCAGCCGCGTGTTCTCGATCTCCTTGAAGCGGACGTGCCCGTGTTAATAGAAGGTCAGGAAGCCGGGTATACTACTACAATGGTGAGAATACGCAGATTATAGCGACACAGATGGAGAACTGACAACAGCACTCGCACAGCGAGTTCAACCACTCTTGAGAACACGATTCTCAGTGCGCGCGGTCCTGAAAGCTGCTTGGGTTGTAAGTGGGTGTACTGGAACTTGTTGGACTTGTCTCATACTGACCATCATACCTCCTTATAACGGGCCCATCAACTGATACCCTCGCGCTGTCTCCGTACGGTGCAGGCGCACGTACACAACATCTTCAACCAGCCTAGCGCCCGCGCGATCATCTCCGCGTTCGGTCCTCGTCTTCGCGCATCTCGTCAATTCTGCCTCGCGCACATATCGGGACCCGCACGAAGATATATTATGAATATTGCGTACGCATAGCTCATGGATCTGTCAAGACGCGACGCATGCGAACGCACCGCAGCGTCCTCCGTGCACTCTCGCGGTCTACTCCGAGTCCGCGCACACTCGATAACCACTACCTGCGGCGCGGCGTCCTCTCCCTCTCCCTCTCGCAATGGCACACTAGAGCCGTCATCGTACGTCCTCTCATCACCTGATTTCCAATCAAGCGCTCCGGAATATTGACCTTCTTTGTCTCTATTTCATTTCTCTCTGTCTTGATCCACCTCCGTCTATCTCCACGCTCTCTCTAGCTTCTTCCGCAGTGTCCCCCGCGCCACGGATTTATAATTGGCTTCGGTACAGTGTCTTCTCCTAGATACTCCCTCGCGCCGCGCGCGCTGTATGTATGTAGGCTACGAGTCAACTTTCTATTCTCGCGTGTGCAGTGTGTTCATCCAGCTTCGCGTCGACTTCTTGTTGCTACACCTTGAGCTCTCCCACGCCCACGCCCACGACCCCATCCTGACTCTCTCCCTCGCGTGCATCCTTCATCATCTCGCCAGCCCGTGTGCGCGACCTCTTCTTTCCCGCGTCTATTCTCCCGTCCACTTCGCGCGCCGCATGTTCGGCCTCCACGCGGGGCGTCGTATCTTGCCTTTTTTTCACCTCACTCGATATCCCGAGCCTCGCGGTTACGCGAGATCGCTCTCTAGCCCTCACCCCTGCCACTGACTCTACACCTGAGTTGACGCTACATTAACGTGTAACAGCATCGTTACGACCGTTCCATGCGCGATGCTAGCGATAGATGGAACTGTTGGTTGGCTCTAGAAAATGTGCGGTGATATTTACAACAGGCCACGCTCTACGTCTCATACCACTATACCTGAAGCTGTACACAAATCGATTTCTTCGTCTACCATATAAATGGCACCCTGACTCGTTCATGCCGGAATTTCACTTGCAGCGTTTCTCTACCCAACGGACTAGGAAAGAACGATAATACAACTTCCCCAAACCAACCCTGTGATCGGCGCTCCACTGGCCATGGTCCGTCCATGTCGATATGATCCGTTTCGCACGAATGTGCAGCCCCAACGGCCGGAGCTTCTTCACCGTTGTAGTACCAACAAAAGATGCAGAAGTGTTGTCGGCGTGGTACGCTCGGACCTGCATCAGGAAAAACCCAAATCCATAATGAGATGTTACTGAGGCTTGTGAGGGATAATGAGCTCGATTATGGTGTTATGCACAAGTATTGTTTTTCGCTTACCCCTCTGCTAATGAGAAACCATTACACGGAGAAGGAAAATTTAGTTGCGAGAGCAGGCCCTCACCAGATGCACTTAGTCTCATTCATGCCCGTAAATCACAGCTTCAAGCACTGGATATCGAGCAGTAGCACTCATCACACATAACATATGGGGCAAAAATGAACATTGATTGGATATCTGAGATGCAGACGAGACCAGTATTTAGCAACAGCGACATAGATGTACCTATCAACGAGCAATGACGACGCAATGTAAACGGTATCGGGGCCTGCTAGACCTGCGAAAAAGCGCACAGCAGTTGCTGAGAGCTCCGTCGCGAGGGATTACCAGTTGGACGCGCGCGCGAATGCGATATGCACGCGGCTTGCGCCGGGAGCCACAGACGAGCACTCACGCCCGCCATCGCCGCGAGAGACGACGAAGATGCCCTCGACTAGCGGGACCTTGGGCCTGCTCACGGTCGCATGCCGCCAGGTACCAACGACCGTGCACCCGCCGACGACGTACGCGCGAGACGCTGGCACTCATGCTGCAGCCGCAAGCTGGAGGGACCTGGACGACGACCAGGAGGCTGTTCCGGGGCGGACACGGCCAGGGAGCGTGTACGCGCGCCAGTCCCACGTGTATCGCGCGGGGGTCTGATTGTGTGCGCATGAGCGCGGGGGGACGACGGGCGAGGAAAGAAGATGAGAGAAAAGCCGAGGCGAGGCAGCGAAGGAGGAGGAAAGGATGAGGGAGGGCTCAGAGCACGCCCGGGGAAAAACGGGTCAGTAAAGGAGAACGGAAGGAGGAAAGTACACTACCTCACCGGCGACAGATGTCCATGTCCAGGATCGTCGGGCTCGCCGCACACGAGTGCGCATCGTCCGGCTCGTGTTCTTCGTCATCCTCGATCATGACGGAAGCCGACAAAAGGATGCACCGTAACCGTCGCACCTTGATCCGTCCCTTGCGCTCTTCGATCCAGAGCAAGTCTTGCCCGTGTGGGCACGAAATGGCCGCCAGACGAAAGTGGACACGCGCTGCTGGCTGCGCCCTCCAAACGCCGCGGTGGTACAAGTGCGCACTCGCCGACAGAGACAATGTAGTTCCTAGAAGAGCAGCGGGTGAGCAGGGGCACGGGCGGGAAATCGCGGCGGGGGCACTCGCGGATTCCGACGTGGAGGATGGGAGGTGGTGAACCGCCGCGCTCAAGACGTGTTAACCTCAAGCGAGGAGGTAGGCGTCGACGATAGCGCAAGCGAGACCGATCTGGCAGAGAAGTGGCTCAAGGAGTACGACCAGTTGTTGGTGTCACTCCTCTCGCCCGCACCGCGAGTCCATGCGATCATAAGAGTGAGACACTCACCACCTGGATGCCAAAGTTGCACAGGCTGACAGCATCGGGGATCTTGGGCTCCGTGTAGATGTGTGTTGTCGACCTGTTCGTGAGATCGTGCACCCGGAACCCGGATGTCAAATGTGCTGGACTCACGTGCGGTGTCACCGCGGAGAGACGAGGAGTGACCATGGGCCCTCGACGGTGGGGTTGAGTTGCAAAGGGACGTCCACGTATTGGGACCGTAAAAGCTGAGGGAGGAGCCGGTCGAGTCTCATCGTCGTTGACGTCTCATAGGTTGTCGTGGTCGTGGTCGACGTCGTACGCAACCCAGACGAATCCACGGCAGCGCGCGGCGGCGAAGAAATACGTGATCTGGGGCATGGCCGGTGGGGTGGCAGGATGGAGGTCTGAGAAGTGCGCGGCGGAGAACAACAACGCCGCTAGGAGATGGGGAGTTTGACAAGGTGGAGGTGGTGGAGGAGGCTGGCACATGTGGGGACGCGCGTCGCGCCGCGCGCGTTGCCATGGGCGCTACTGACTCAACTGAGTCTGTGTGCCTGATACATTCGAGAACGAGAAGCGCGCGTGTAGTCCGTGCGCTAAATATTCCGCACTTCGACTAGGGCTGCTCAATTCTCAGCTCGAGCAGCCAGCCTGCCCGCTCGAGTAGCCAGCCCGCGCGCTTGAGTCCGTCCGGCGCGCTCGGCGCCCAGTTACGCGGCGCGACTGCCGCGCAAGCCGGTGATGGATGCTGGCAGGCCGTACAGACGCCGATGAGGTGGCCTTCGTCTTTCTTGCCATTTGTGTTCGTCTCTCCCTTCTCCCACGCGCGAATTCCGGCCTTCTGTGTGCAATTGCTGAGCGCTGATGAACGAAGATCACGGCCGTGACATGCGGTAAGTACATGGTGCTATCGCTGATGTCATTAAGAACCCCCGTTGAACGAACGCTCGCAGGGCCAGTCACGGCAGCTGCGCGCAACATCTTCCAGTGCCTCCCGAGCATACAAGAGCCCCAGAGGTCAGTCGATTGCATACAGGATGCCGTTTACGTGATGTCACCTGATATTGGTTTCTAGTTACCTCACTCGCAGGTCGAGGCTTTCGATGCCAGTTCTGAATGGTTTAGTCACTTCCCTTTGGACGACTTTCGTCACTACACACTCTCTCAAACCGATCTCCACGAGGTGCGTGAGCTGTACTACTTATATATCTTTGAATACTAACAAGCAATGGGTATAGCTGGGCTTGGGCAGTATCCACAGTACTGAGTCTGTTGCCCCGCGTCATCCGTTGCGGAACCACGATGTGATACCACAGTACCCATCCACCCCACCACTGCCATATCCTTCTGCCCCGCCGCAAACATATCCTTCCGCTCCGCCGCATCAGCATTCAAGCGCATTGCCGCCTCAGCGCGGTCCTCCATCACCTGCACGAGGCTTGGAACCTCTTCGGCGCGCACATCCAGATGGTGACGACACACCAGCCCCATCACAAAAGCGTCAACGCCGCGACGAGAATGCAACCCCGACCGAACGGGTCCCGCCACCCCTGGCCGCACCAGCAGGCACACTGGGGAGCGGGAAGAACACCGGTGCTAAGAGGTCGGTAGCTTCGACAGGCCCTCAACCCGACAACAACACGGAGAGCGGCTCTGGGAGCCGGTGGAGCGAGAAAGAGAGCACCTTCGTGATCGACATGGTGCTCGGCCCTGACCCTATCGCACCTTATAACGATATCAAGAAGTCAGGCAAGAGGTACTTCGAGAAGGTATGACTGCGTGCGACATGTACGACACTACGAAAGCAGCTGACCTATCACCGGCCATCTGACCCGCAGATCGCTCTTCATCCCAAAGCCCCATGGGGCCCAGGCAAACGCACTTGGAGTGCCGTCAAAAACCATTACGAGCGTCTTCTCAAGCTCTTTGCCGCTATTGTCGCGTTCGAGAATATGACGGGGCTAGATGGTGACGTCGACATCCCCCAGCCCCCGGACTGGGAGACGATGACGATCGAGCAGGCTCAAGCCCGCCTCGCGAAGGCCAAGGAGAAGAAGAGCTTCTCTGGCTTGACCGGTGGGATCTGGTTGCACTGGCACAGGGTTGGGTGGTATGATCGCTTCAACGACCAGTAGGTGGTGCATACACTCGTACAGTCTGCTATTACTGATCTGTTTCAATCTTGTTCCCGATTAGGCTCTCCTCCCATCCGCAGGTTGTTAAGCAGTCATCATTCACCGAGGATGTCATGTCAGATGAATCGGACGAGTTTCTGATAGGCGGTGATGATGCCGAGAGTGCTATTCTGATCAGTGTGTGACTTTCATTCTCAGTTCTTACGTGACGTTCATGAATAGCATATATGGCAGATGATGACGAGCACGCTCAGTCAGAGCTTGGTGGAACACAGCAGGCTGTGGACTCAGCAAGCTCTCATTCGGACCCGTTATCCGGACTCGTTTCAAAGCTTGCGAAACAGGGTGTAGAGAAGAGACAGCTTGAGGCTGCCAAGTCTCCTTCAAAAGTTGCCTCGTTGGCAACCTCGACTTCCGACATGCTCGTCTCTATGACTGCCACACTCCAGGACTCTCACAAGATAGCCACGGAGCAGCTCAAGCTCCAAACACGTCAGGTGACCTCCATGGAACAACGTCAGGAGCGCAGACTGGTGATGGAGGAGCATCAGTTCCAGGACCGGCGCGACGACCGTGCGGAGGCTAGAGACAAGGCTAAGCGCGAGGCCGAGGAGAAAGCGCAGCAAACACTTGAGGAGAAGATGAAGGAGAAGGTTAACATGGCTAACGCACTCCTTGCTAACCCCTCCATCGATCCCGAACTCCGCAAGGTGGCTTCAAAGGTCGTGGCCGATTGGTTGACGAAGCCGATGGAATAGATGGTCGACATGTTTCCCCAAGCTCCGATTCACTGGTATAGCATTACATCATTATCTCTGTTATATGTAGCCCGATACATATCGCTCGCTATGTTCATCACGCCCGACGCATCGCGCCTACCGATGTGCTTGTTACTTGGACACTCCCGAGTCCCGAGTCCCGACGCGTCACGCCTGTGGGGGCTCACAAGGCTGTGGCCTTGGCGGTCTGCCATGCGCCCTGCGGCTCTAAAACATTTTACGGAGCATGTTGGGGAGCTGTGACGGCCGTGCACGGTGTTCTTAAGGCTTTCGGGGCCCCCAGAAGACTCAGACAAGCCTCGGTCGACTGGAGGAAAGGGCGCTTGGGCATTGATTTTCGCCACACTGGGCGTCTCGCAGGCTCGCAGCACACAACGACTTCCGCGCACCCTATCTCTCTGTCCACTCCTCCGGATCTCCCTCTCTCTGTCCTCTTCATCGTCCTTTGCTCCACCTCTGCGAACGCACTCAATCATTTCCGGGGGGTCCCGGTCTATTACGCCCAGCTGGCCACGCTCGATATCGTCCGCCGGTATGTCATGCTATCAGCCCTCTGCATGCCACACCCAGCTTCGCTGTGGCCACTGACCTCGCCGGGCGTGTGTCATATGCTGCTCTGGGACACAACAATTCCTGTTGCTGCCATGAAAAGCGCCGCAAACGCCGCCCCCCACGGCGACGCACGCACCTACCTCAAGAGCAAGAGACTCGCTTCCGGGGGCGCCCTCCTTCGACCCTCCCTCAAATCCTTTCACTTCGCCTAACACCGTCTCTCGCGCTGCTCCAAGTCGCCTCCACGTCCCCTACGGCTCCTGCGCTGCACCGTGTCGCACCGCGTCACCTTCAAGTCACCCTCACGCCCCCGCGTCTCCCGCGTCCCCCGCATCCCCCGCGTCCCCCTGCGTCACCTGCATCTCCAGTATCCCCGCGCTGCCTCTACATCCCTCGCGCTGATAAGCTTTACGCGCCGCAGCTGGAGTGTGAGGGGGACACGCCCCGCAACTCTACACCCTCCTCGTACTATGATCACCAGACTCCATCGCCGCCCAGCCCTCCGAATTGAAGACCTACCGATGCCCCCGCAAGCCTGCAAGCCGCCTTCTGCTCGTCTCCATACGGGACTCGGCCCAGGTCGGCCTCACCATCGTCGCGGCATCCGCTCGTTCGACGTGCTGGACGACGGCTCGTGCGACAGCACTGCCGACGTTGTGCTCAAGAGGAACGTTGGCGAGGGCGGCGTCGTCCGCCACGGGATGCTCCACAGGCACGGGTGGCGGCTGCTCATGGTCGATGCGCATGGGACGAACCAGTTCAAGGACATGGAGCTGCTGTGGAAGACAATGGATGAGATTTCGCGTCGGCAGCCGCACGCACCTAGTGAAGACGAGGTACGTTGTCATGTTGCTCGTATTCTGCCATACGTACCGACACCGCCCTTTTCCGCATTCAAGCCCTCGTACACGGGTTTCGAACGAGCCCCTCCGCACCAAATTCCGTCAAGTCGATGTCTCTCGACGTCCCCATCATCCTTCCCCATCTCTCTGCAACCATGCAACACTTCCTCCCCCCACATCTCCACGACCACCCGTCCGTTTCGGAGGCGTCTACTACTGTTCGATTCGTCCGTTCAAGAGCTTTCGAACGCGCCTCAGATCGTCGCAATCGGACCGCTGGCCGTTGGAAAAGTGCACGCTTCGCCACCCCTTCCTCCCCATCATTCCCTCATCAAGATCCTTCCCTCCCACATCGTCGGGCTGCTGAACGAGCCGCGCACCGCTCCCGCCCCGGCTGTCCCCTCGTTCCCAACGCCCCGAGCGACCGACACACCCACGACACGCAGCGCGGCTTCAAGCACCCGTCGCGAATCTTCCCGCACCAGCACCTCGCCACGCGGATATCCAACGGGGATCCCAAGCTCGCCGTGTGTATGCGGGCTTCCCGCCTCCACCGCTTTGTGAGTCCAATACACTCGGGGTTCCCGCTGTCTGAACCTTCTGCGCATTGTGCATGCCGCACGCTACAGGGTCTCCGACTCTCTCAGTGGTGTCCACGTGGTGGCGTTGAGCAAGGAGGACTTGTTTTGCGCGCAGTGGCTGACACATAGTTCTCCTCGCGCACTGGCCGCGCCTAACTCCGTGTATGGTGCGTCCTCTCTTCCTCCCCCGATCTCGTCCCCCACCAATATATCTCCTGTGTCTGTCCGCGATACCCTCAACCCCGCACTTGCCTCCACACCTCCACTCCTCTACTCAACCGTGATCTTCGCCACCTCCATCTTATGGGCCTGTCCTGTGCGCCTCTAGTGTATGCCGTATGATCCGCAGCTGCATGGATTATGAATGTCATGTACCTAGAGAGAAAACAAGTCGCTCATTATATGTAGTCTCATTGCTCGTCCCTGCTCCAACAGCCAGTCATCCGGCTCATGAAGCCGGTCCCTCAGCTCATCCAACTCGTCAGCTACCTCATCATCACCGTCACCTAGCAATGGTGTGTCTGGCACTGTGGCGTCGTTGATCCCAGCCAAGTGATCCATTGGTTCGTCGGTGAGAGCAATGCAAATGTTGTGCAATACCATCATTGCGGCAACATTACGATATGTGTCCTTGATATCGTTGGCAGGATTGAGTGAGTAGAGGGCTGGAAACCGTGTCTTGAGACGGCCGAATGCATGCTCGACTTTGATTCGGATTGAGGAGAGACGAAAGTTGAAAGCACGTCGGACACGTCTCGCTTCTCCTACGACCTCATCGACTTCAGGTTCTGTGAAAGGTCGGAGGAGATATGGGGTGCACGGATAGCCTGTCATCATTGTTAATATTGTACACCAAATTCAGGAGACAAGTCACATTGACTCACCCTTGTCAGCAAGGAGATACTGGTTGGGTCCGAAGAATTCTTCACGATTCTCCCAAAGACGAGACTGTTTCCAAACTGACACATCGGGAACTGAACCAGGCCATCCCATGTCGAATGATATAAAACGGCACTTATGGTCGACAACTGCCTGGATATTGAGCTGTGAATAAACAACTGAGGTCAATTATCCCCATTTAATGGAAGATGATGAGATTTTACTGCGTAGAATTTCTTGCGACAGTAGTATGTGGGGCCGGCAACTTTTGGAGCTTCTGTCAGTCGTATCAAGGATCCGTCCACGATGCCAATGCAGTGCTGAAAGCCATAGTGTTCTTGTATGTACGAGGAGATGACTTCACGTTGTTCACCACGGGGCCACTGAAGCAAGCCTTGCCTTCCAAGCTTCCGAAGAGCCCGAGCGACCCTCTTGCAGTAATCATAGACAGTTCCAGCTCCAATTGCGAGCAGCTTTGATGCGAGCATTGCATCACCACCACGTTGACTGTACCGAATGAGGAATGCTGCCAGCTGAAAGGGGATGGGACGTTGAGGCTTTCGGCCAGTCGACTGGAAGATTGGGTCCCGAGCGAGGAGTTCTACAATGGCGTGAAACGTATTTGCACTGATTCTAGTAGTAGCTCGTGTGAGAAATGACGGTGAGTGTAAATGAAGCGAAGTCCTTGTACCTAAATGTGTGTCTGAACAGCCTATCTGGCCACTGCAATGCCACCGGAAAGAATTCCCGGCAACGGGGGATCTGGTTGTATCGACCTCGTGATGAGTTGCCTATGATTGCGGCTGCGGTGCTGATCATAACAAGTGAGGTGCAGATGAGAGCGTCTTCAACAGGTGATTGACAGCCAAGTGGCAGCAGGAATGTGTCTTCTTCGACATCTTCAGCATTCTCGGAGTCGGGGTCGTTGTCGTTGTCGTCATCGTGCTTCGGAGCCTCCCAACGCAGCCGCTTAAGGTCACGGAGAATCACAGCTGTGAAGTACATGCTTGTACCAAGAAACATGAATAGCTCTTCGACGTCGCGCTTCCGCTTGAAGGCCGCAGGCATAGTGGCCCGTTCCGGAAGTCACAACTGGCAGTGTGGGCGAGTGCAAGTGTCACAGTGATGAGGGAGAATGGTGGAAATGGCGGAAAATACAGGCGCCAGTGGAGGGAGGAGGCGCAACCAAATTCGGCATCCATCACCGGCTCGCGCGGCAGTCGCGCCGCGTAACTGGGCGCCGAGCGCGCCGGACGAACTCAAGCGCGCGGGCTGGCTACTCGAGCGGGCAGGCTGGCTGCTCGAGCTGAGAATTGAGCAGCCCTACTGTGACTGCCATCACTCTCCTAGCTTCGTTCCTTCCGCCTCCCCATGGCTGTCGTCTCTTCGTACGTCCTCCCATTATCCGTGCCATAATTCATGTCACCCCCTACAACACCGCGTCCGCGCCAACATCCACATCCACTGACAAAACGGAGCTACTTCGCCGCCGAAGCCCATTCCTCGTCCCGTTCCTAGGCACGCGGGTGCGCCGCCGTACAGCCCGAGCTCCTCTTTGCCAGCTCACACCATCGTCTGTCGGAGTCCACATCCCCCGCGTCTAGCACGTGGCCTGCATGCTCCATCGACGCCGTTTGGTTACGACGTCCACGTTCCTCGAGGTTATCTAATACCGGATGCTGGGCATGAAGATCAGGCGCGATGTGGTCATCAACTCATGTGTGGCGAGCGCGACGGGTGCTTCTGTCTCGACCCAATCGTCAGCCATGGCACCACGGTCAACACCTTACACCCAGCTCACCCCAGGCGCGGTTATCCCTGACGACACAAAGTCCCGGAGCGTTTGTCGCGGGCCCGCTCATGATCACCTTCCTCATCAAGTCCGCCGCGCACCTGCCACCTTGGTTTGCCGCCCTCTTCGCCCTCCTCCCAGCCCGCGCCGAAGGGTAACACGTCGACACGCTCGAACGCATCATAGTCCAATGTCCACGTCGTCTTCAACTTGGGCTACGCACACGCGCCCCACACGCACTCCGCGAGCAACGCCGCGATCACTGCACGGCTCGACTCGCTGAGCTACGCCCCGAACCCGCATCAGCAGGTCTACTCGTCGGGCTGCAACTTCCCCGCCTCATTACCCACGGGCCACCGCGCCCCGCCCGCAATCGTGTTCGTCGCAAAAGGCAAGCAGCATGTGCGTGGAGAGTTAGGCGACGGGATGCCGGGATTGGGTGCACATCCAGGTACGTTCTCTTTGCATATTGTAGAGCCTCTGCCGAAAAACCAGTATCGTAGGTTCGGGTATCTGTACACTGTCTTAGTACTTAGATCATAAAGCAATGACAGTTTTCTGTAAATTCCATCTATGCTTGCTGAGCGCTGATGTGTGAACAGCGAGGGAACTCATACACCATCGCTACTAGCTGTCAGGATCCAGTCGAGTGTATCGTTATTGGCTAACTGCATATACAGATATCCAATACAGCTACTCAAGCACGTCAAATTATACATCATCCACCCCATAAGCGATCGGAAGGAAGGCGATAGTTTGACAAAGCGTCTGTAAACTGCGGTGAGTTGAAACAGCTGCAGTATTTTGGCGTATATCGGCTTACCAATATATTACCTCTCAATAGGGATTTGGGTTTTTCCTGATGTGGCGTCTCCGTGGCGATCCGGGATGACAGAGAGATTGGCCTGGATGAGCGTGGGTCACGGTTGTCGATGGCGGACTCGGTACGAGAGCATGTCCCAAGAACGACTACGAGCCTTCCAAAATAGCCGCGAGAAAAACAGAGAGAGACGTCTTGGGTGGAAGGAGGCGGCGGAAGGGCGCTTCTGCCACTGTCGAAGTCTATGCCATCTTCCTGGAGCTGGAGGAAGTCGCGAAAGACAAGGTGAAAGGGGGAGCCGGTAGTGGTGGTTTCACAGAAGCGCCTCAGCGACTCCATCCCTGCGCTTTCGCCCTCGGAGAGGCCACCGGTGTACGGAGGGAGGGCTACAACGCGGAGATCGGTCATCGTCCAGCCATGTGAGTCGATCGCCGTGCTTGATTCCCACAGCGACACAACGGGTTCCTCTGCGGGCTGGTAGTGTGGAGCAGCGCTAGCGTTGACGTCGTCATCCACCCTTTCAAGCAAGAGGAAGACGGGGTCGGGATCTCGGCAGAATAAGTCGACGAGGAGGAATCTCTCTGTATCATCCAGAGGTAGAACAGCCGCGTGGAGCTCGATCCCGCCTGGTGACACGGAGAACACGGGAGCATGAAGTTCTGCGGTCGCGCTTGCGATCGAACCGTGCTAAGATGGTCGTCAATGTAGTACAGCGTAGAATGGCATCCATACCAACGTACCTCATTTTGTCCCGTCTGAGAGCGGGCGCTTGTGTCGTAGAACACAGGACGATTTTGGTACAAACGCTGAAGGATGAGAGGATGGCGACGGGTTCGGATAAAGTTCGGCGAAGTCTGAAGGGGGAGTAGATGGCGACGAGTTCGGCTGTTGGGCGTTCCCTGGAGGTCCGATTGGAGGTCTTCCAACTTGCCCACATCCCGTCGTTCTCCCAAGAGAAAAATAGAAGGATCCCGCGACGTCTTCGAGATCTCCATGAGGAGCCGGCAGAATGCGAGCCGCCCTTCGCCGTAGAGCATCGGCATGTTGACCCCGAGAAGCCTGAAGAGGCTGTAGGCAGCGTCTTCCGGCTTCGTGGTTTTCCGATGCGCCGCCCAGGATATGCGCGTCGCGACGCTCGCCTCGGTAAAGGGGATCTCGAAGCGGAGGACTGCCGCGGAGATTCCAGTCGCTGCTTGTAGGCGATCAGCGAGCTCGTACTTGGTGCCCAGACAGGTCCACTCCTGGGAATAGAACACGAGGACGCGGGACGCGATGAGTTCTTGGAGAGTCCAGCCCCGCTCGTGCCAGCGACTACATCGGAAGGAGCCCCACATATATTCTGAATCAGTGTCGGAGTAGTATCTGACGTCGCTGAGGTAGACGTAGCAGACGGCGGAGAGGGCGTAGTAGCGGAACATGGAATTGATGCCTTCCGAGAGCTCTTCACGTTTCTCCTTGTTGATACAGCACGTGTCGACCCAAGCGTACTCGTGCCCGTGCTGTTCGGCGAGCTCAAGGAATGATCGAGTTTTTGGAGTGAGGCGATCGCGTGGGTTGAACCATGGTGGCGACGACCGGCGTGGCTCAGCAAGTCCTTGGACGGGTGCGGGAGTAGGGCGAAACGGTATCTCGGGAACGCGTGGACCTGAACCCGTCGCGTGTGTCAGCGCCGACGAAGAAAGATGAGATTTCATTACACTGACCCGGCTCGAATTCAGTAGTCGTCTCTTCTCTCTCTCGGGGATTCCCTTCAGCGCGATCGCGGACGAGGGAGGAGGCGCTAGAAGGACGTAGACAGTATAACAGCAACGCGAGCGTCTGCATCATCTGGAACCCCACCCAATGGAAAGCACCCCACATGTCCCTGCAAGCCGCAAATGCTTTTGGGACTGCCTTGGAAATGAGAGATCGGAGCTCGGATCGGGGCAAGGGACGTTGGTCTTCCGGGCAGAAGGCGCTCTTGGATTCTTCATTCAGCCTTTTAACCTTTTGAAACGAGTCTTCCTCTCCTCCCCAGGTGTGCGACAGGATAGCATAGCCTCCAGGAACGTCTTCAGGTTGGGGAAAGAAGACGAGGTTCGCGCGCGCGGTGCCCAGGAGCCACATCGCTTCTTTCACGAATATTAGCACAGGTATGTCAGGCGAGAGTAAGCACGAATACCAGGTGCGAGTTGATGTGTGCGATTCGCGAGAGCTACAGTAGTGATTCGCCAGGTGCATCCGTTGTGACAGCCTATCGGCAAGTGCGGATGCATCTGGTGCCGGCCGGCCCGGTTGAGCTCGACACCGCCTTCCCCAAGCGCGCTCGCGCACCCCCAGGTGCGACGCTGTCCCGAGATGTCCGGACACCGGCGCCTCAGGCCCTGCCACCTGAGCTCGCTGTCTCCGACAGTGAGCTCACCTCCCTCTTTGTTTCACACCATATTTTGCATATGATTAGTGATGGAAATATATTTATTAGTAAACTACTACATAGGCGCGCTAGTAAGTAATACCACGCCCCACGACAATGCGCAGGCAGAGGCAGAGGTGGGTGATACAGAGCAGGGCAGCACGAGGCGAAGGGTCGGGACAAGGCGGAGGTGGAGGACAACGACGACGTGGGCGACGTGAACGTGGGAGACGCGGAGGCGGGTGACGCAAAGGTAAGTGAGCTGGAGGTGAGGGACGCGAAGGTGGAGGAGGGCGACACGAAGGCGGAGGAGAGCGACGCGGAGGGCTCGCGGGGGACGCGGTGGGCCGGGACGAGGCGGAGCAGGTGGTGGGCGACGCGGGCGGGGGTGCGCGATGCGAAGGCGGAGGAGGCGCAGAGCAGCTGGGTGACGTGCGCGCACGCGGGCGGAGGACGGGGCAGGAGGGCGACGCGGGCAGGCGGGCAGCGCGGAGGAGGCGGGCGGCGTGAAGAAGGGCAGTGCGGGGGAGGCAGGCGACGCGGGGCAGCGCAGAGGCGGAGGAGGGTGACACGGAGGAGCGCGGTGTGGACAGGGGCGTTGACGCAGGCGGAGGATGGCGACGCGGAGGAGGGCAAGGAGGAAGGCGACGCAGAGGTGGGCGATGTAGAGGAGGGCGACGCAGAGGAGGGCGGTGCAGGCGGGAGACCCGGGCGGAGGACAGCGGCGCGGAGGAAGGGGACGGCGGCTTGGAGAGCCGGGAGGAGGAGTACGTCCGGGCGGACGTCCTCGGCCTGTGGTAGTTGTCGCCGGGCGGGAGGGGGAATTGGTGGGTGTTGGGAATGCAGGAGGGCAGAGCGAAGGACTCACCAAAACAAGGGACACGGCACGTCGCCGCGGCCCCTATATCCTCGTCTCCATACTTCGGACGTCCTCGTGCGGTGTGTTTGTCGTGAGTGCGGTTGGGAAGGTGGGTATAGAGTGGGATCGAGGTTGAGGTTGAGGTCGAGGGAGGGAAGGAGGAGTCACCTGGTGACACCAAAGTCCAATAACAGACGACAGTCGACCGTATGGTCGCTATCGTCTGCCTGGGCAGAGCGGGGAGGCTGGGCGTAGCGAGGGTAGCGGAGGAGAGCAAGGACGGTGAAGGGGAGGGACGCGATGCGCGCCACGCGTCCTTGCCGCCCACCGAGGCGCGTCTCCACGGGCGCGCATCACGGATCGCCAGATCCGTCCAGATGCATCCGTAGCTGCCGATAGGCTATCGCAACGGATGCACCAGGGAAATCACCTGTGCTCGCGAGAGGACTACAGGCACTTGGGGGGCATGAGCAAATGCGATGCAGGGCATAGTAGGAAGAGCGTACGTACAATGAGAGTATCCAAGACGGTCTATGGGTTTTATGGCACTTGATGTCACAGAGGATGTCGATGGCTGGGAGGAGACACAAGATGGACGGGAGGAGATGTGAGATGGGTCGAGGGCCGAGGGCGAGACGGAAGAGGCCAAGTTGCAGTGAGGGCGACCCCGGTCTCATACGCCGACTGCACGCTCGGCCATGCGGAACATGCATGCGATAGCCTCAGAGCACTTCCGATGCTTCTCCTGGGAAATGAAAGCGAACACAGTGTGGGCAGGCTTCGCGCTACCAGGGCGAGATGACGTTCCCTGCCACGAACATGTCAGGCTCTGATAACATGCGTGTTCACCCTTGGACGAGGCTGAGAGGTATGTCATTCGTCGCAAGCTACATGATATAGTCCGATTCCCAGATGTTCGCCGACACTTGGATCGCCGGAGTAGACTCCAGTAACCGCGAGTGTCTCAGTCGCGCTCGTTATAAATGACAGTGTATGCGCGCGAATGGGCACCATATGCCAGTGGGGGGCGAAGCGGGGGATCGGAAAGCAGCTCGACGCCGTCTCCAGGAAGGACAAGCGCGATGTTCTAGATCTCCCAGCCGCACAACCCTGGTTTGAGCGGAGATGAACACCCCTGAGACAAATGAGTCAGCTGGTCCAAGCATGCACGAGGCATACTGTTGCAACGAGGATTCGGGCAGGTCCGCGGCAGCGCTTCGCCGCGTTGCCGATGACCCCATGCCACGGTCCAGGAGGGTAGTGTGCAAAAGCATCGCTGCGGAGATGTTTGCACCGACGATCTTCGCAACCTCAGTCGATCACAAGAGCACGTCCGTGTGAATAACAGGATCCATGATACTGAAGAGCAGCGGAGCAGCGGGCATCAATATCCAGGAGTAGCAGTTTGAGCGCAGGAAGGAAGTGAGAAGCTAGCTGCAGACTCACATGATCACCGCGGTGCGCTCGATCACGCGCGCGATAACGCATGTCCAGAAGGACGTGCCGAACAGAGGGTTCCGGAATCAGACGAGAAGCGGCGAGAAACGAGCAATCGGTCGTGTTGCGGCTCCAGACTCGGAGCGGGAACTTCGAGGGG